CTCTCTCTCTCTCTCTCTCTCTCTCTCTTTGATTTATTGCCGCCGCGAGTCGACGAGCAGGGCAATGCGGCGGTGAGCGAGATCTAATCGACACGCGCGAATTGCTGAGATTTTCGCCGTCCCGTCTAGATTTCGCGTCGATACCGAACACGCGTGTTCCACACATCGTCTATAATGTAATAATATATTAATAAAATCCAATGTGGGAATTCTAAAATACGCGTTTCTCGAGGAAAGCGCGATGTCCGAAAATTCTCTTTGCCGAGGAGAGAAAAGTGGTAAATCATTCTTCATTTTTTTAATAGAGAGAAGTATGATTTCGATAAACAAATAGCTCGCAAAATACCGATCATGACTAATAAAAAAATATCCGTTCATTGATCTTCTAAGGTGGTAAAAATACGACATTTGAATTGAAACTACTATCTTCTGTTGTTCACGCATGATGAAATTTGCGCAACTTTGCCATGTGCGTCGCGTTCGCGTGAATCCCGCTACCCACGATAGAGGTGTAGTAAGCCGTCAGTCGTTTGTTCTAAGACCAAAACTGTAACGTAATTTCCAGCGAAAAGCGTTTGCCAGAAGTCGTAATAACGCTTAAAATTAGGAACCGTGACGTCTGGTAATGCGGGAAACACATTTTGCCAGAAACCACATTACATGCAGAGAGAAAGACTTGAAATGCGGCTCTAATAATAAAAATTAAATTAAAGTAATGAATTGGTTAATAAGATATTGAGACAAGAAATATGGAATGGGTAATTATTGATTATAATCATAATTTAGAGAAAATTAATTATTAATTATTAATTATAATTTAAAAAACGCGGGAGATATATAGAGTCGGTCAAACGATGTTAAAAATACGTTAGAACAAATTCTGTTATTTCCGTGTGACATATTATAAGGCATTATTATCCTTAAAATTAATTACGCAAAATTAAATTTCCTTGCAACGGGTTCTTATTAGCCACTTTATTATTCTACTTTAATTAGAATTCTACTTTAATTAGAATCTACTTCTACTTTAATTCTACTTTAATTAATTAGAATTCTACTTTAATTAGAAAGATTTAATTGTATTTACCCGAGAAGAGATACGCCCGTTAAAACTTTTCGTGAGTAAAATACGAATTCTCCTTTTGATTTACTTGAATTTAATTATATTTTTTCAACTCATAACATACAAATAC